ACGATATACCAAGTTTTCAAAAAGTCTTTAAAAATCCTCCATTTGAAAAAAAAAAAACATTTAAAATCTACAATTAAAAAAAAAATATTTCTAAAAAAAATTATAATTCGAAAATAATATTTAAAAAAATTGTCGATTAGAGAGAAAATTTTTTATATTCCTTAAAAGATTCATGGTTCGAAAAATCCACGATTTGATTTTTTGTTGCAAAATTCGAAAAATTGAAATCCTAATTTTCAAAAACATTTTTTAAAAATATTCTTTTAAAATCCACAATTTACAAAACAAAAATCTTAAAAATCCGAAAAGTTATATTTTTGACAAAATCTAAAAAAAAAAACTAAATCAAAATCTAAATTAAAAATTAAAAATCTTTAACAAATCCACGATTGCGTAATATATTTTGAAAAGTACGATCTGAAGAAATATTCTTTTTTGAAATTTATTTTAGAACAAATCTACGTTTTCATACCCCTGCCATAATATGTGGGTATATTAAGTTTGTTATTACGACTGTAACTCCTCAAAAAAAAAAAAAAAGAGTTTTAGAACCCTCAAAATTTATATATATTTTTGATCATAAGAAGATTCTAAGTCAATTTAGCCATGTATGTTCGTCTCCTGGTCTGTCCGTCTGTGGAAATCTCTCTAGAGTTCGAAGAGAGTGAAGTAGGTGGACAAAACTTCACTAACTACTCATCTTAGGTCCATAGAGTTGTTGGCATTGAAAATGGACTATATAGGTCCACGTTTTGGTATAGCCCTCATATAAGAATGCTGGCATATTCTAGGTGTTCTAGGAGTGTTTGGTCACATTTTTGTACAGAATTTGTTGTACATTAGCAGATTGTGTTCCCGGTAGGTAGGAGTTAGATAACCATAAATAGATAACTTTTTCCTCCCAGAATTGTTTCAACTTTGGTATTCGTAATGGGTGCAACTTCATATGAGAGAAAATTTGAGAATTTTTTTAACTTTAAACTGAAGTGGGATATTAAAAGTTCCGCCCGGCGTAACATAGCTGTTTTAATTTTTTTTTTTTTAATTCGCAATGAAAAATATCTCAACCTTGGCAAAATTGCGATGGAGTCAGAGTCTAACGAAAAATGTCTGGACTATGAAGGCCTAGTTGTAGCTCAGCTAGTCCTTAGTAAATATCCTTTAAAAAAATCAAAATTGTAATTCGGCTTTTTATCCAAAAAATATTCTTTAAGAAATTACGAAAGTCCTCAAAAATATTTGTTCCTGAATTTAAGATCAATACCTGAAAAAGTCTTTTAATTTTTGAGATTTATTTTTTTATTATTTCCAGAAAAACTTCGTTTTTCGATGGATCCACACATTTTCATGGTAAGTCAAATTTGTTTTTTTTTTTTTAATTTTTTGTTCGCACCAATATTTTAAAAATTTATTTTTCCATTCACACACAAATTGCCTTTAACAAGAAATTTTATTACCAGAAACATAAGCAAAAATTCATGAATTTAGGGCACAGATATGTATATTTTAGTGTACACCACTGTTGAATTGCGTACTTGTGGTTTTGGCTGCTGCTGTAGCTGCTTCTGGTTCTTCTGATGTGGTGATGTGCGTCAAAGCAAGATTTTAGTATTCTCTTTTTTGGGGTATTTTTTTGGTGTTTGTTTTTTCTTCTTCTGGGTATGTTTCAGATAATACAATTAGTTTGTCCATTGGTCTTTATGTAGCTGCTTGTTTGGCCTGCGTTTGTTTGGCATTAAAAAACTTACACTTGTGTCTAAATCTACATTCATACATATATTTGGTGTTTTTGTGGACAACAAATTGTTTGTGTGTACATGTCGGAAAATACAAAAAATTCTGTACTTGCTGCCTGCCCACCTCCGGTCCGTCCCTCCTCCTAGGCGGCAGCATTTTTACAGAACATTGACATTTGTTGCAAATATCTTGTTAGTGAAAAATATGACGGTGTCTTAATTTATTTTTAATGCATTTTTTACAGCTGCACCGCTCTCCACCTCCATTGACATTAGAGAAAAATATTTTTCTTTACTCTGTGCCGAATTTCTTCTATAATGGCTTTCAATTATTTGCGATAATAGACAATCGGAACCAAATTAGAAAACAACATTACTTTTTAATATTTTTTTGGCCCCCCCCCAAAATTTTGTTGATTGAATTCATATCAAATGGAAATTTCTTCGGTTTTCTATTTTCTCTACGCTTGTTTTGCAACACACATGTCATCATTTTCATATCTAGAGGTTATTAAACATATGCATATGTATATTTAAATGTATCTCTGCTAAGTACATCTGTCAATGGTTTTTACTGGCGCTGTTGTTGTTTTTGTTTTGACCGTGCGCATTTTTATTTTGAAAATTTTGTTTCTCATCATCAAATGGCCTCAAATGAATGAAACATTTATGGTATTTTTGTTCTTTGCAAAAGGAAATTAATTATCACCGTGAAAACAAAAAATACTCTACAACCTTGACAATCAAATGGTTCAGTGATCCGAATTTGACTGATTCATGGCGGTTGGCGAAAAGTAAAATGAAATAAAAAGAAAAAAATCCAAATATACCCCCATCATTTATGACTTATTAGCTGTAAGTGGTTGTATATTTATCTCGTCGATCATCATTATCTTTTTGTTGATGGGGTGGATAGGTTAATTTGGCATTTCCATACGAAAATGAGCAACTGTGCCAGTTTCTTACAGTTTTCAGAGCATATTTTAGGGGATAACCGAAATTTTCTAAATTTATATCCCGTAAAGTATGCTTTAAATTGTGTTCAGTTGGTATTAAATTATGTTGCCACATTTTCTTATTGGGAAGCTCGTCGAGAATTCCTTATGACTTTTTATGAGCAGATTTTATTCTCTTGACTGAGAAGACCTGGTATCTTCTGTTATTCTTTGCGAAGACATTCTGGTGTTTAATCAGAAGGCCAACTGCTCTCTGTGAGTAGATCTTCTACTCGTCCTCTATGAGAAGACCATCTTCTTTAAGAAGACCTTCATCTGGTCTACTTTGAGAGAAACAAAGTTCTTTGAGAATATGAGCATCTGATCAGAGAAGACCAACTTCTGATATTCTATGAGAAGAGAAACTTCGGGTTTTCTGTAAGATGACCAATTTCTAGTCTGCTTTGGGAAGACCAACTTCTAGTCTGCTATGAGAAGACCAACCGGTTTTCACTGAGAAGACCTGGTCTTATATGAGCAGACCTTCTTGTATTCTATCGGGTAATCTTTGAGAAGATCAACTTCTGGTCGTTTTTGAGAAGATCAACTTCTGGTCGTCTTTGAGAAGATAATTTCTGGTCGTCTTGAGAATACCAATTTCTGGTCTTCTTTGTGGGGACCAACTTCTGGTTATCTATGGGAAGACCAACTTCCGGTCTTCTATGGGAAGACCAACTTCCGGTCTTCTTTGTGAAGACCAACTTCAGGTCCTCTTTGTGGAGACCACCTTCTAGTCTTATTTGAGAAAACCAACTTCCATAAAAAAGCCCACTTCTTCTCTTCTGTGAGAAGAGCTTCTTCTGGTCTTCTATGAAAAGACCTTCTTCTGGGCCTTTAAGAGAATAACTTCTTCTGAGTTTCTAAGAGAAGATCTTCTTCTGAGAAGATTATCTTCTGTTCTCCTATGAGAAGACCTTCTTCTGGTCTCCTACGAAAATACCTTCTACTGGTTTTCTACGGGAAGACATTCTCCTGATCTTTTATGAGAAGACCTCCTTCTGGTCTTCTTTGTGAAAACCAACTCCCATAAAAAAACCCACTTCTTGTCTTCTATGAGAAGAGAAACTTCTTGCCTTCTATGAGAAGACCCACTTTTGCTCTTCTATGAGAAGACCCACTTCTGCTCTTCTAAGAGAAGATCCTCGTTTGGTCTTCAATGATAAGACCTACTTCTGGTTTTATATGAGGAGATCCTCTTCGGGATTTCTATGGGAAGACGCTCTTCAGGTCTTCTATGAAAATACCTTCGTCCGGTCTTCTATGGGAATACCTTTTTCGCACTTTTTGAGAAGAGCATCTTCTGTTCTTCTTTTCATAGAGACCAGTTGGGGAAGACCATTTTCTGGTCTTCTTAAAAATGCTATCTCCTGGTCTTCTCCAAAAAAACCTTTATCAGGTCTTCTGTGAGAAAACCAAATTCTGGTCTACCATTCGAAGTCTTTAGGGTTTTCTTTCAGAAGACGACCCTCAGGTTTTCTTTGAGAATACCAACAGGTCCTTTCTGAGAAGACTTTTGTACCTTCTATGAGAAGAACTTCTTTAGGTCTTTTATGAGAAGACCTTTTTCTAGTCTTCTGTGGGAAGAAATTCTTCTGGACTTTGATGAGAAGAATATGTTCTACTCTTTAATGATGCGACTTTTTCTGGTCTTCTGTAAATTTCCTTCTTTGAAGAGACCTTCTTGTCTTTGATGACAAGGCCTTCGGGGCCATTCAAGTCCTCTGTGAGAAGAACTTCTGGTCTTCGGTAAGAATACTTGAACCTTTAACTCTTCTCCGATAAGATGGTCTTTCTTCCTTGTAATTTCTTATGGGATGACTTCCGTTCTATAAGATTAACACTTTTTCTTCGAGAGGAAAATATTTTTTCCACTTATGGGAAGTACGTGTAGACTTCGAATCGAAGGCGATCTTGTCTTTTTTTAAGTAGAACTTGTTCTCCTATGTATATCGCCTATTCAAGAGTACCAATTTTTCTTCTCTGATCAAACATTTGAGTAGTAGTAGCTTTAAATGAGCATTTTGATGAACATATCTTATTTCCAAGTTTGTAACGTTGGGCGCCACTTCCGCATTAAATTCAAAAGTTTCAAACCCAAAGAGAGAGAGAGATCTGACGGGACTTTAGAAATGTCGAAACGGGGTTTTTTACCATTTGGATGACATCTGTGTAAATTTCCTTAAAAAATATCTTTGAATTTTCCACGCAGAACTATTTTATAAGTCCTTACTTACCATGATTTTTTTAAACGAAACAATTTTTTCAATTACATTTTTATTACACAATACAAATGTATTTACTTATTTATTTCACAAAATATCACTCTTAACTTATGTCCAATATGATTCGTTAAAAAATTCGTCATTACATATTATTTCTCTACTATTTCAAACTTCGTCATAGAATTTCGTTCCTCCGCATCGTGGTCCCCATTATTTGATATTCTTATAGATCCAAGGCAACAGAGAAGTAACTCGAGTATAAACACCAGGATATTGACCCTTACCGCAACCAATGCCCCACGAAACAATGCCCACCTGGACAAAACGACCGCCCTCGTTGACAATCATGGGTCCGCCAGAGTCACCCTGCAAAAGTAACCAATTTTATTGATATTTTTCTACTAATTCAGATCCTCATTTCGTCGATAACTTACACTACAAGAATCCTTGGCCGCTTGACCGGCACAAACCATCGACTCAATAATACCCGCCGGGGCAGCTCTTCCATATTTAGCGGCACACTCAGCATTATTCCAAATGGGAATTTGTACCTTTTGCAAAATCGAGGGTTGTGGACCATTTTCTCGCAAACTACCCCACCCAGCAACGGTGGCAATTTGACCACTGTACGAACTCCTCTGCTGGGTCGGTGAGGTGGGCAAACAAATCGGTTGTATTTCCTTGGTAAATTTCACCGGTTCACTAAGGGTTAAGATAGCGATGTCGTTGTGCTGAAAAGTGGGGAAGCTATTATTTGGTTTTCATTCCGGGAATTGAATTAAATGGTTCTTACCAAAGTACTAAAATCAAAGCCTTTGTGTCTCACCAAACGCTTGACTCTTCGTGAGATGTGTTGCACTTCGTAGTCGGTGCGAATGTTATAGTCGCCCAAATGAACTGTCATTGCAGCAACGTCCCAGGAAGTCATTCTGTAAGGGGAAAGTAGGAATAAGTGGATGATAAGATTTGGTAAGGCCTCAGGGTTGTTGATGTTACTATTAAGTGTTGTATATTATGAATCCTGTATTTTTTTTAGAAAATTTCTTGTGCAATGGACTGTTTTTTCCTCCTGAAAAAAATACATGTCATTGTCTTGCTTTAGAAGCCCTACTGATTTTCTAAAACAAATGCTTGCTATCTCCAATAAAAACATATCGTGGTATTTTATTTGAAATAATTTATTCTAAAAATTGAAAATTAAAATGAAATGGGTTTTATAATGGTCTGAAGACTTCTGGGATAACCTCAAGGTAATTTCTTTTCAGGTTGTATAATTTCAAAAATATCCAGAAAATTGTTTAACAAAAAGTAAAATGAAATAAAAAGAAAAAAAATCCATCATATCCATCTAATTTTAGAAGTTGTAAAGACCAACGACTCCAATATTTGCGGGTTGTTAGCTGTTCTTAAATGTATATTACCCCCTAAAATATGCTTTAAAGGCTGTTTTATTTATATCTCGACATTTATTTTATCCCTTAAAATAGACTTTAACGCTTTTGTAGTTCTTTAGTAATGTTGCCAGATTTCGAAAGCGGGAAGTTATGCTAATTTACAGAAATATATAGTTTGTGAAATATAGTTAAATTTTCTACAATATTTATAATTCTACCACTGCTTTTCGACGTCCTCTGAAGAAAGATTGGTTTTATAGCACAGTAATAATTTCTGCGGAATTTTCTGTGTGGATTTTTTTAGTGATTCTGAAAATTCCATATAATAAATGTTATTCTTCCATAAGAAGGTGTGTAGTTTTTCTACAAAAGTATTCTCTGCATTTAAAAAAGTGGTTCCTTAGCTATATGAAAACAACTTTACATGTTTAGCTCTCCTAAACAAGTCTTCAGGCCCTCTAAAATATTATCTCCTAGAAGATTTGAATATCTCTTAGAAAAATATCTTATATTTTTTTAAAAGAAGAATATATTTTCATTCTTTTAAAAAAGAGCCTCAACTTGTGAATTATTCCCTCTGAAAAAATACTTTCATGTTAAATAAATAATTCACCTTCCATTAGAAAGGGGATCTCAACTGTCTGGATATTAGATCTTTAGCTGAGCATAAAGTCTTAAGCTCCTCTAAAAGAATATCTCCCATAAGACCTCTATTTCACTTAGAAAAATGCTTCTAACATTTAAAAAAAGAAATTATTCAGCGCTTCTGGAAATATCATCAGCTAATATATTTAACTATTCGGAAAATGTGTTTTTTAATGAAGAATTAAGTTCTTCCTATTAATGAAGACTCGTTTAGCTTTTATGGAGAGAGATCTTCAGAATGAAAAACTCTTCGCGAATGCCAGCACTTTTAAAGGTATGCCATTCAACTCTTAACGAATAGAAAACAATTAGTTTTTACTGAACATCTGCAAAACGATATTCATCCATACGAGAAGAATATCTTCACATTTTCCAAAAGTAATGCCTTAAGGTACTGTTATTTTTATTATCTTAAATAAGATCGAAAGAAAACGTCAAAATTGCAAAAGGAATAGTCTTCAACTCTTAAAGACCAGAAGACTTTTAGCTCTTCTAGAAGAGCTCTAAAACGATATACGTCTTTTTGAGAATAATATATACAGATCTTTTAAAACACAGCATTCGTGGCTCGATTTTTATTTTATCTTAAAGAAGATCCTTATCTCTTTCAAATAAGAAATTTCAATCAATTCTTGAAGAAGCAAGAACCGCAATTTTTTTACCCTATTTATTTTGATGCCTCTTCATACCTTAAAAATATACTAGATTTTGACTATCTTTCAATATTCGACTTTTATGGACGAAACTTTAAACAATTTAGCGTAAAGCTTTGAAGCACGAACTTATTCCAATTTTGAAAGACTTGCTGAGAGACATCTACCTCTCGTTTATCCAGAGAATTCCTCATGTAAGATCTCCTATGTAAAAAATAACTGTAAAATATAATATATCTATGGAAATAATTATAAATGATCTTCTTTAAAAATTATGTCATGGAGACGTTCTTTGACTGTTGAACTCTTACAACATTCACGAAAAGATGGCGTTGTCTTATATCATTTAACTTGTCTGAATTCTTCTAGAAAAGAACAATTTTAGGGGCACTTCATAAACATTTAGGAGCGCTAAAATCGTTCCGTAGATTAGAATCTAAATTATTTTATGTTTACGTATACGTCCCAAATCACAAATGAAATTTAGATGATGTCCCATGTTATGTATGTATATTAGGGCATAATACGTCCATTATCAAAATTGATGTATAGATGGCGTTTCGAGTAAAAATATCCTAGGGTGTCAAAGGTCTATTTGTTGATCCTTTCTTTTTTCGGCATTTAGGTGTAAGGAAATGCAATTTCTATGATATTTTATATATCGCACTGCACTATGACCTTATCACAGTGTAAATAACTAATCGAAATTGAAATATAGATGGCGTCTCATGTAGCATATATGTATCTAAAACATTGCGGTAATGATTAATTTCTAGTCTACAATATCAAGGTACTGACTTAACATATCCAGCCAGCCAGCTAATCTCTGCCAAAAGTTAAATCTGAAAATTTTCGTTTGTGGAGAGTGGAGCAATGTTTCAGAGGAGCCTGAACTTTTTAGCCAAAAAATTCTCAGCATGTTTTTACTGCAATTTAGATGGCGTTCTGTGACAATTTGGGGTATTGATTTAAAAACTAATTCCTGGAGGCCCTTCATATCTTCAATAGAACCTTAATATAAGATATAAAGTCCATGACTTTCTATGTTCAGCCAGCCTAAAGTTATTACTGGAATTATAGACGATATATTGTGTTGTTATTACTGGAATTATAGACGATATATTGTGTTGATGTATAGATGGCATTTCATGTAAAAAGTATAAGCAATGTACGAGATTGATTTAAAAAAAATATTTCTCCTCTCACAATAATAATGACTTCATATGTTCTGGAAAAAGGAAACCCTTTCGAAAAGTGGAGCAAAGCGCCTATAATATTCTCATGTCTTTTATCGATATTTAAATATAGATGGCGTCCCACACCATATATTGAATTATGTCCTTTTAATTAACATCAATGCACTGGTTTTAGACTTGCAGACAGTCTCTGACAAAATTTATGTGTAGATTTTTTTTCTTTCCAAGATTAAAGCGTCTGAAGGGACAGCTGAAAAGTTCTCCATATATCATATGTCAAAATGTACATATAGATGGCGTTCCGTAGCAATGTGCTGTACTGATTTCAAAAAACTATTTCTTATATCGTATCATCTCTTCAATAGTTTACGTATTTTTTCAGCAGGTCTATGCCAAAATATTTACTAAGAATTTTTTGTCTTCGAAGATTACCCAAGTTCCTGAAGTGGCTAATTCTCCGTGTGTCTTTTAGCGACATTTATGTATAGATAATGTCCAGTTTAAGATATCGTAGATTTGCGGAATTGATTTTGCAAAAGAATTTCTCATCTTACACCATCTCTTCGAAAGTGTCTAGTCTAAAATGTTAAGATCCTGCCTTCCTGTTTGTCTGTCTCGGTCAAAATATATTTCTTGAAAACTATGTTAACAATTTATCCTCATGTCTTATATTGAAATTTAAATATAGATGACAATCGGTAGAAATTTGTCGAATTGATGAAAAAAAAAATTCTTATATCTTGACATCTCTTAAATAGTGTCCAGGCCACGATATCAAGATTCCGTATTCGGATATGCTGCTAACTAGTCTCCACCAACATTTATAACTGGAATTCTTTGTTTTCGAAGAGTGGAACAAAGTCCTTGAAGCGGAAACTTATTTAATCAAACAATCCTCCACTATATTAAGTATGAGAATAATGTCTCAGGATATGAAAAAAAATTTTTTTGGGTAATTCATGGAATTTTAAAGGAGAATATTTCCTTAGGATTTGATGATATATCCCCCTGAAGTATGCAATAAATATCTTTCAAAAAATAACTGAAATATAGAGGTCGCCCACACTAAAACCCGCAATAATGTATTGAAAGATTTGTCTTGCGCCATCTGATCCTAGCTTTAAGCTCTAATATCCAAGTTTAAGATATTCAAACAGTCTGTGTCAAAATCTTAAACTAATTTCTTTTGTTTCTTTTTCTGTAGAAAAATCTCTCCGAATGTAACATAGATGGCGTTATTACGGATTTGTCTTTTATAAACATTTCCTCTCAAGAAGACTCTTTTCAGCTCACAAAAGATTAATCCTTTGTATTTTCTTTTAAAAAATCCATTTTGAAAACATTACTAGTTTTTACATTTAATATTCTTTCTCAAAAAATGGTCTTCGTATTTTCTGAGATAAAAAAAATGTAAAAAATGTAAAAAATGTAAAAATTCTACAAGAATGGCTCGAGTAGTCCTTGAAGAGATTTTGTTTGTAAATTACACAATTTGACTCAACAAGTCCTTCAAATCTCTAAAAAATCCAGCAAAAAAAAAAAAAAAAATTTAAAAAAAAAACTAAAAAGTCCACGACAATTCCTTGAAAAAAATCTTTAAAAAATTCACGACAAGTCCTTGAAAGTAATCTTTAAAAGATCCACAACAAGCCCTTAAAATCTTAAAAAAAATCCACGACAAGTCCTTTAAAAATATCTGTAACAAATCCACTATAAGTCCTTGAAAAAAAAAAAATCATTAAAAAATCACGACAAGTCCTTGAAAAAAATTCTTGACCAAATCCACGACAAGCCTTGGGAAAATATCTTTAAAAAATCAACTGCGAGCCCCTGTGTAAGGATTATTTTTTTCTGAACAAAATCTTGATAAATGTTTAAAATAGTTTTCCTTACCTTGCAACACAATGAGCCGCAGTCAAAACATGGTTCTGAAAGAGCAAGAATAATGACAATTAATGAAAAAAATCAAGGGTTCTATCGCCCAACCCCTTCACCCTCTAACTTACATTCGTTATCAAACTACCACCACAAAATTGCTTGCCCGACTTGAAGATAACAGCAATCCAAGGGAATTCATTGGGACTGGCATTGGTACCGCCCACAATGCGTTCCTGATCTGGGCCAATTACGCCACATTGTAGGGGCAGACCATTCGATGATGTACCACTGCCCGATGAACTTGGTGGTCTTCGAGTTGTGGTGGTGGTAGTAGTTGTTGTCACTGGCCTATAGGTGGGGTATGTTGGCCGCTTGGTGGTCAAAGTGGTTATGGGTCTCTTGGTTGTGACTGGAACAAATTGTCCTCCAATTGTCGAAGGGGGATGTGTGGGATAATGATGATTGGGTGGATGTGTGGGCAACGGTGGAGGCCATTGTTGGGCCGATGGGGGATGGGTTGGCAATGGTGGTGGCCATTGTTGTACTCCCGAGAATCCCACAAATTGTGAGGGCCAGGGGTAGCGTATAAAGTTGTTGTAGTTGGGGGCCTGTTTCAAACTCTCATCGATGGGATCGTAGCCGATATTATTACCCTCTTGCGAGGAGGGTTCATCATATTTGGGAGGTTCCGGCTCATAGTTGAAATTGGCAGGAGGTTCAATGACATCCGAGTCTTCAGAGCTTTCCGTTTCCTTGATAACATCCATGGGATCCATGGTGACATCCTTGGAAGGTTCATCATTTTCTGGTTTTACAGTGGTGGTAGCTTCAGGTTGGGCTGGAGTGGGATTTGGATATGAGGGAATTGGGGTCAAACCTGGTTGAAATGTTGGCGTTTCGCCTGGTACAATGGGTATAATGTTGTCAATGCTAGTACAGCATACCCCAGAACTTGTGCGAGCATATTGATCGAAATAGGTACACAATTCATCGGATTGAGGTTGTGGCTGAATGTAGGGTGTAAAATAGGGATATTGTGCCAAACTGTAGTATGTCAAATGACGACGACGACGTTGGTTACCACTTTCCAGGGCACACCGATCAAAACCCATACAAATACCCACCAGACCGCGAGATGTTATACACCGCGATCCCTCGGCACCGATATTTTGAATGTAGAAGAAATTCGGACTATAGAACAGTTGTCGACTTGTGCGATTTAGGGAGGTCTCGTGGCCGTTGTTTTCGTTCAGTGGTGATGGAGGAGCTGCAAAAAAAAAAAAATATTATGATATTTTATTAGAAAATCGATGTTTATTGAGCAAGCTCCCCTTTTCAATATTTTTGCAAATTTTTGGATTAAGATAAATTGGAATTCGTGCATTTGAAATATGTAATGTCTTCGGCAATATTGCAGATAAAAATACGAGAAATATTTAACACTCATGCGAGTCAAAAAAGGGATATTTTTGGTCCTTTTTTTAATATGGCTAAAAATCCCCTTTAAACGGGATCGTAGCATTTCCATTATCAAATAATATATACCCTCTGTAGTCATATGGCTGAGAGTTTAAAAATCCACATTTGTAGCTCTGTCAGTCTTCGGAAAAGACATTCTTTCAAAAATTACAAAACAAATGGTCACTAAGTTCTTGAAGAAGAAAATTCCAAGAGGAGTCCTTGAAAAAAAATTTAAAATTTCTACGAGAATGGCTCGATTAGTCCTGGAAGAGATTTTGTTTTTAAATTATGCAATTTGACTCTGCAAGTCCTTAACATCTCTTGAAAAAAATAGTTAAAAAATCACGACAAATCATTGAAAAAAAATCTACGACAAGTCCTTAAAAAATATATTTTTTTTCAAATCTTTAATAAATCGACAAAAAGTGCTTGAAAAAAAAAAATAAAAATTCATGACAAGTCCTTGAAATAAGTCGTCAAAAATACACAACTTGAAAATAATCTTTAAGTCCTTTGAAAAAATCCTTAAAAAGTCCGCGACAAGTCTTGAAAAAAAAAAACATTTAAAAAATCCACAACAAGTCCTTAAAAAATATAAAAAAATACACAAGTCCTTAAAAAAATAAAAAATATACACGACAAGTCCTTGAAAAAAATCTTGACCAAATCCACTACTAGTCGTTGGAAACAATCTTTAAAAAATCCACTACAAGTCCTTGAAAATAATCTTTAAAAGATCCACGACAAGTCCTTGAAAAGAAATCTTTAAAAAATCCACGACAAATCCTTGACATTTTTTTTTAAATCCATGACATGTCATTGACATTTTTTTTTCAAAAATCCACGACACGTTCTTGACTTTTTTTTGAATCCATGATAAGTCCTTCAAAACAAGTCTTTAAAAAAATCCACAACAAATCCTCGAAAAAAATAAAAAATCCACGACTATTCCTTGAAAATAACCTTTAAAAAATCCACGCAAGTCCTTGAAAAAAATATTTAAAAAATCCATGACAATTCCTTGAAATAAGTCGTCAAAAATACACAATTAGTCCTTGAAAATAATATTTAAGTCCTTGAAAAAAAACCTTTGAAAAGTCCAATACAAGTCCTTAAAAAATAATTAAAAAGACCAAGACAAATCTTTAAAAAATAAAATACACGACAAGTCCTTGAAAAAAAATGTTGACCAAATCCACAAGTCGTTGGAACAATCTTAAAAAAAAATCCACGACAAGTCCTTTAAAAAGTATCTATAACAAATCCACTACAAGTCCTTGAAAAAATCATTAAAAAATCACGACAAGTCCTTGAAAAAAATCTTGACCAAATCCGCAACAAGTCCTTGGAAAAATCTTCAAAAATCAACTACAAGTCTTTGAAAAAAAACTTTAAGAAATCCATGACAAGTCCTTGAAATAAGTCGTCAAAAAGTACACAACTAGTCCTAGAAAATAATCTTTAAGTCCTTGAAAAAAAAACCTTTGAAAAGTCCAATACAAATCCTTAAAAAATCATTTAAAAGGCCATGAGAAGTCCTTGAAAAAAAATCTACACCAAATCCACGACAAGTCCTTGAAAAAAATCTTGACCAAATCCACAACAAGACCTTGAAAAAAAATCTTGACCAAATCCACGACAAGTCGTTGGAAACAATATCCAAAAATCCACGACAAGTCCTTTAAAAATATCTATAAAAAATCCACTGCAAGTCCTTGAAAAAATCACTACAAGTCCTTGAAAAAAATTCTTGGCGAAATCCACCACAAGCCCTTGGAAAAAAATTTATAAAAAATCAACTACAAATCTTTGAAAAAATCTTTAAAAAATCCATGATAAGTCCTTGAAAAAATTCTTTAAAAAATCCATGACAAGTCTTTGAAATAAGTCGTCAAAAATACACAATCCTTGAAAATAATTTTTAAGTCCTTGAAAAAAACGACAATCCCTGAAAAAATCATTAAAAAGGCCATGATAAGTCCTTGAAAAAAATCTTTAAAAAATTCACGACAAGTCTTTAAAAAATAGAATACACGAGAAGTCCTTGAAAAAAGTCTTTAAACAGACCAAGACAAGTCCTTGAAAAAAAATTTTGACCAAATCCACGACAAGTCCTTTGAAAAAAATTCTTGACCAAATCCACGACAAGTCCTTGGAAAAAATCTTTAAAAAATCAACTACAAGTCTTTGGAAAAAATCTTTAATAAATCCACAAAAAGTCCTTAAATTATTTTTTAAAAATACACTACAAATCCTTGAAAACAAATCTTTAAAAAATCCATGACAAGTCCTTGGAATAAGTCGCCAAAAATACACAACTAGTCCTTGAAAAAAATCTTTAAAAAGTCCATGACAAGTATTAAAAGAAATATTTAAAAAGACCACGACAAGTCCTTGAAAAAAAATCTTTAAAAAATTAACGACAAGTCCATGGACACATTATTTAAAAAGACCACGACAAGTCCTTGAAAAAAAATCTTTAAAAAATTAACGACAAGTCCATGGACACATTATTTAAAAATCCACGACTGGTCCTTGAAATATTTTCCTTAAAAAACTTAAAAAAATCCACAACAAATCTTAAACAAGTCCTTGAAAATATATTAAAAAACACGACTAGTTATTTAAAAACTTCGCCACAAGTCCTTGATGAAAATCCAAGTCTTTAAAAACTATTAAAAACTCCACAACTGGTCCTTGATCACATATTTCAAAAATCTTCTAGTCTCTGAAAAAAATTTAAAAAATCAACTACAGGTCCTTGAAAATAAATCTTAAAAAAAATAAGACTAGTCCTTGAAAAATTCTTTAAAAAAAGTATTATGGCTCGGCCATTTCTTCATCTTTAAATTTTTTTAAAAATTCCACATTTAAAGCTCTGCAAATCCTGGAAAAAAACGTCCGAGAAAAAACATATTTTAATAATCCAGGATTGAGGCTCGACTAGTCCTTCAAAAATCCCGGATTCTGGCCAGATTGGTTTTTGAAGAAAAAAACTACGACTGGTCTTGAAAAAATATTACTTTAAAACTCCTTCTCCTATAAACACTGTTAGTTCTTTAAAAATTCCCAATTATAGTTCCTGCCTTGCAAAAAATATACCTTAATAGATCTGCGTATATAGCTCCACCTCAGTAGCTAAAAGATTTTGCGCATGATTTTTCTATGGTTTTCGACGTTTCTTTGAAATTATAAATTATTTTTGCTTCTCAATCAAATACCGTTTTAAGAATCCTCATAAAATTAAAAATCTAGATAGGTGGTAAATGGCAATACGCCATTAGACAATGTGATTTTTTTATTTCAATTCAATTGAAATTCTAGCCAATCGATTTATTGGCTGCGCAGCAAGTCAATGAACTTGAAAAGGGAAATGTTTGGCTATTTTTTGCTATCTTTTTTTTTCAACCACATAAATATTAAGTGAATTTGAAAAATTCGAAAAAAAAGCGTTGAATATATTTGAAATAAATGTTAATAAACAAAAGGTGGTAAATAATATTTATGAAGTGATGTTGGTGCTGGTACGCACTTGTCATTTTATTTGAAAAAACTGGTGACCCATTAAATCGTTGTTTATTTGACATGTTTAGTTGGATAACAACAAAAAATTGGAAACATTTAACACATAATGTGTCAAAAATGTATATTTACACACACAAACATAGGCATATAAGTGTGTTTGTTTCTTGGATATTTCCTAGGCAAACCACACATCTATGTTTCACACATCATCGTCACTGGAACAGCACACCCATGACTATTGTTTATGGTATGGCCAGTTAACGACATCGTAAAACAGCGGGTGGCTACCATTTTTTTTCCTCTCTAACTCTCCATACCTTGCTTTGGTTTCGGGGATTTTGGTCATTTGCGGCCGTAACTCAAAATTATGTGGCATTTCAAAAGAAATAAATATACATAATAGTATGCTTACAACAAAAACAACAAAAGCGACAAAAAATGATGAGACATTTTAGTTGACCTGCTGGGAGGGTTCTAAAGAAACCAAAACCACCCACATAGCATGTTTTGTAAAACATTTCCCACATTTTACCTTTACTGGTTCATATCTGTACATCTTAATTACCATTCGCACTACATCTGCGCACCACATCATCAATACCCAACTACAGCGCCTAGAAAACCGACATTTTTTGCCATTGTCGAAATTGGCCTTTTGTTTGCACTTCCAAAACAAAAAAAATCGCCAATATGTCATCAATGTTTGTGTTTGTCTAACATTTTCGGCATGTCTTTGGCAAATGTGTCATCTAAATTGGGAGAGTAAGTATGACTTGTTGGAAGATCAATGAACTTCTTTCTTCTTAACCGCAAGCAAAACAGGCAACAGCTACGACAACAACAACAACAATGGAAACATAGATTTTTCTCAATAACCAAAAAAAGGTACTTGCTTCTTCCTTGTCCCTGTGGAAAAGAGAAAGGTGAGGGGCGTGAAGAATTCACTCTTTAACTGTTACTCTTTGTTTGCCTCAGTTTAGAAGGTTTGTTTCTTAAGTCTTTTGTTTCCCAAAGACAAATACGAATTTTACGAGCGTGAAATTCTATTGTTTGCCCGTTGAAAAGTAAAATTAATTGCAATAGTTCATGGAAAAAGTGAGAAATATTATTTTGACCTAAAAAAGAGGATTTTGGTGACAAATGATATTCTGGCATAATTACCAACCACAAAAAAGGAACATCTTTTTGAAGAGCTTGAGGCATACAAATAAACTAAAAAATAATGGAAAAAGTCATTGGGATCCGCAAACGCTGTGAAATTAACGTACCTGGATTTTGAAC